GTTCTCTCGGTCACATAACTTGTCGACGTTTCATTAACGCGGCACCACAATCTTTGACCCCCTTATCAAAATGCAGTGTTTTGTTCAACTCGTGGATCACATGTTCGGATCAGCCGAAGCGCACGAGTGTTGAACCTCTCATTGTACTGTAGAGCCTTGGGGAAGCTCTCGTTACCCCGAATGTAGCGCCACAGGGGCATGTCCACGCCTCACTTGAGCGGCTGTGGAACGATGCCCACGACGTTGCGGCGTTCCGACGTTTCCTGCCATCGGTCGCCGCATTAACTGTCGAGTCTCCAATGAGCGTTTCAGCCAGGCTACCACTTGTAGGCCTAGAAACAAACCTTGGTCTCCAATACTCTCCGATAATATGCTTAGGAGGCAAAGCAGGCACCAAAGGTGAGTAGGGACAGAAATACTCAGAAGTACTAGACGTTCACAAATACTAGTCCAGGACTAGTAGTCCTCAAATACATCACAGAACGGCTGTGATAGTCAGCCTACCCGTTGTCAACGCTTGACATAGATGAGAAAAGCGCGTGAGTACACATGCACATGCGTGTGGTGAGGGAACAGGGATCCCGCTATAACTCTGGTGCATTGAGTATCGTCATCAAAAAAAATCCCGACAGTCGAAGGGACCCAACTCGAGAGTGTTGAGTTAAAGAAACGTGGCGTCACTCAACGAAAGCTACACTTCTAGTTGTACCCGAGGTTGCCAATCAGCCAATGTTGCCGCTAGTATCAGGCTAGTAGTCTCACTGTCTGATCTGTGAATCGATAATCAGGGACTCAATGGCACATAAATGAATCAAATAGCATGAGAATGGGCCACAGGTTCCATGTGGGTAGTTTGAGTGGAGCGCATGCTGCGAATTTGGTCCGTGACGAAGTGCGATAAATGAGACCCAATGATGCCACTTGTTGCATACCGATGTGGTCACGGCACACATCACTCGGGTCGGGTAGGTGTGGTTGAAGCATACCATGCCAGTGATGCATCGTTGCTACGCGTCCAACCAGGTGCTTGTTAGGGTAACGGGACTCTCACACACGTTTCCTGCACGTGTGTGCGTCGCACTGAGTGACGCACACTGTGCGTATTCAGATTTCGTGCTCTACGCGATAAACCTCGATTCTGAACACTCTGCGGTTGCAGAGGTGATTTCACTGAGCAATGCTTCGCTGAGGTCTCAGGTATACATGATACGCCGCTTGGTTAGGTGGTCTATAAGGACCTGCCTGAACGGCAACATTAGCTGTGACACCACTGCAGTAGTGACGTCACTGCCGCGGTAACGTGACCGCAGTAGTGACGCGGCGTCACTGACGCCCCTCTGCCTGCTGTGATCCTCGGGAGCGTGCACTTCAGGTTTTAATGGTGGCTCGTTTCCTCTCCCGGAACACTCCGGTGATCGTCTTGCTGAGCCGTGGTACCCTGGCACTCTCGACTCCTTTCTGACGTCCGTGCGTAAATCATATCGACAAGCGTTTGCCCGCCACACTCGACCCATTCTTCGCGTCCAATTTCGAGATCCGCGTGTAAGAAGGCTGTAGAAATCGTGTATTGTCAGTGTTATTGTATCCATCGATGTCCCTGATGAAGCTGTGCGCCTATATTCTCGGATGCGTGACCGTCGGACAACTGACTGAAGCTATGGTTCTCCAAGAGGGAAAAGCCCCAGGGTGAGTCTGTTCCCCCATGATTAAGATGAGCGAGTGGGTTCCTTGATTTCAATATTGCTCACGTTCTTACCGACTCGCTGAACAGCTTTGTATGCAGATACCCATCGAACCAGCTATACGGTCCCGTGTCTCCCAATAACGATTGCCCAACGGTGGACGGCATTAAGCAGTACCCCGCTAAATATTACAAGGTGAGACAAGTCTGATCAGTGACCGGAGACTGAAGTGAGATAGCTTATCGGGCCGCTGATGGCCTCTTTCAGAATAATCATTACACTGTATGCATGCCGATAACCTCCGAAGGGATGGCCTGTCCGCCCACTCCGGTCAAAACCCCTGCTGTGCATGATGGGTCTGAACCAGTGTGTTTCATTCCATGTGGAATAGTAGGTCAATTTGTCGACCCTTCTCTTGCCTGGTAACTTGCCTAGGGGCATAGTATCCAGTCGCATCATGAATATGCTATTGTCACCCATACTTCTGCGTCTGTACAAGTCCTTGCTAATCATTCCTCAGTTCCTCATTACTTTTACTGTTCTCACTAGGCTCAAGGTTGATGCACCTGAGATATTCATTTGCTTTCAGGATGAGGACTGCCAAGAAGCAGCTAAGTGCTTGAATACCGGCTCGCACAAGCTGTGTGCATTCTCTGTGCCCTAGTTCACGATTTTGCTGGCATCTACTTAGTAGATGGTATCACTCTGCTTTCGCACGGTGGTGGACGTTCACAATAATGTGCGTCCGGGTAAATCTTCGCTTTCAAAGAAGTTTCGTCAACTGAGGCTGTTGTAGTTTCAGTTGTTGGGCTCAATAACAGATAGTTGACGAACATCACAGCCGTTGGATGAATGTGTAATAATGAAGAGCCGACAGAATCATCTGAACCTCACACTACAGCTATGTGTTATTTGTCCACTTAGGCTAAAATGTATGTATAGTGCCCGAAGCGCGTGGATCGTATTGTTGGCTCGATGATGCCGCATCATTAGATACCGTATCATTGTGTAAGAGTCTTTCTTAGTCTTTCAAACCACAATGTAAGTCACACCGCCCAACGCCCAACACCCGACCGAGCCATAATAGCAGAATCACCTTCACCTATGCAGTGC